TTTTTTTTTTTTTTTGAGACCAGGGCTTGCTGTGTAGGCCAGGCTGGCCTCAAACTCACAATCCTCCTGTGTCAGCCTCCCCACTGGAATTATAGGCTTATCCCATCATGCCCCATCTCCTGGCTGTGTTTTTTTTTCCAGTACTAGGGTTTGAACTCAGGGTCTACACCTTGAGCCACTCCACCAGTTCTTTTTGAGATGGGTATTTTTGAGATAGGGTCTCCCGAACTAATCTCTGCCTCCTAATCTCTGTCTCCTGAATAGCTAGGATTAAAGGTGTGAACCACCAGTGCCCGGCCTCAGTGTGGTTTTGCAACTATTTATTCTTGTATTCCATCCTTTAAAAAATAAACAGGTGATCAGATAAATAGCATAATGAAATATCTTTGATAAGTACAAGGAAACAACATGGCACTACAGTAGAGACTAATGTAGTAGTAGTCAAGGAAGCTAGGGAGGTGACATTTAAGCTGAGGTCCAAGGATAGATGGAACTAGATCTGAAAGTGCCAAGAACATTCCAGTCAGAGAAGACCAAGCATGGAGACCTTAAGGTGAGAAAGAGCTTGGCTAATTCTAAGAACTGAAAAAATGCCAAGTGGGGGAGTGGCATGAAATGAGGGGTGGAGAGGTTGTCAGAAGATGGTAAGGAGTTTGCCTTTTATCCTAAATGCAATGGGAAGCCACTCGAGATTCTGCACTGAGGGAGGCATGATGGTGTTTGTGTTTTAAGAGATTATATTAGCTGCTGCATTGTGAAACCAGTTAAGAAGTGATTACAGTTGTCCAGGTGAGATAACAGCAAATGAAATGAAAATGAAGAGAAGGGCTTTCATGATCTATTTGAGAACAAGAAGACTGGATGGGACATGAAGGGTGAGTGAAAAGGAGGAGTCAACAATGACATTCAAGTTTCTGGACTTACTGGTTGGGTGAAGAAAGGTGCCATTTACGGAGATAGAGCCAACATGTTAAGAATGAATTGGGGTTGGGGGAGGGGGCCCAAACAACGTATACACATGTGAGTAAATGTAAAAATGATAACATTTTAAAAATTAATGAATTAGCAGCCAGTACTGGTGGCTCATGCCTGCAAATCTACTTACTTGGGAGACTGAGTTCAGGAGGATTACAGTTCAAGGCCAGCCAGGGCAAAAAGTTTGGGAGGCCCCCATCTCCAAAATAATCAAACCAAAAGGGACTGAAGGTGTGGCTCAAGTGGTGAGTGCCTGCTTTGCAAGCATGAAGCTTTGAGTTCAAACCCCAAGTTTCACCAAAAAAAGAAAAAAGAAACAAAAGGCAACATTAAAAATGAAAAAAAATAGCCAAGCACAGTGGTACATGCCTATAATTCCAGCTACTTTGGAGGCTGAGGCAGGAGAATCACAAGTTCAAGACCAGTCCAGGCTACACAGTCAGAGTCTTTGTTATATATATAATATATGTTTGTGTGTGTATATACATATATGAATATCAATATATATACATATGGTGGCATTGGAAAAGGCTAACATTATAAAACAAGTGTATGAAGAATACATTTTATGCACAAAATGCCTAGAAAAGGGATCGTAAGTATTTCAATATAATAAGGTGGGTTTTCTTTTTTTAAATTTTCTCCAGTAAGTATGTATTAATCTTAACATAAGAAAAGGGGAGCCTGGTGCTGGTGGCTCATGCCTGTAATTCTAGCTACTAAGGAGGCAAAGATCAGGAGGATCATGTATTGAAGCCAGCCCAGGCAAATAGTTCGAGAGACCTTATCTTGAAAATACCCAACACAAAAAGGACTGGGCAAGTGAGTCTAGTGGTACAGACCTGCTTAGCAAGTGCGAGGCTGAGTTCAAACCCTAGTACCACCAAAACACAGAACAGAATAAAAACAGTATAAACACGAAAATAAAACAAAGCCATAGGATTACCATATAGGTTGGAAGTTCAATGAACATAGGAGTTGCTTAGCCTGAATAAAGTAGCCCTCGTAATATTTACAACATGAAAGTAAGATCAGCAAATTAAATACAGCATTTGGGCCACTCCTTGAAAGTCAACAAATCTGTTGTTTAAAGAACTAAAACAGGACATGAATTCCTGAAACAAGATTGCAGGAGAAAATAATGGTCTGAAAGTATACTACTTAGTGTGTATAAAACCAAATAAACTAATATAAACAAGAAAAACTGAAAACAACTAAAATTTAAGCATCAAAGAGAGAATAAGGACCTGTGAGAAGTAGCAAAAAACAATGAGCTTTCCATACTCCTTTTAGTATTCATAATCTGCACAAAGATAAAATCATATTAAAAGCAACTGAGGAAAAAAGAAATTTTTTACGTTTTTATTTTTTGAACTCAGGGCCTCAAGCTGGCTACACTCCCATTCCTTACAGCAGTCATCTTTTAAAAATGAGCCTCATTTCTCAATAGCAACTAGAAACAAAAGACAGTCGATTATCTTCAACGTGGTGAGGAAAAATAACTGTTGATTCATAATGATATCCCCAGCACAAATACCTAATTAAAATAGTTGCAAAATAAAGACATTTGTAGATAAAACTGACAGATTGTTACAGTAGAGCCTCACTAACAGAAATCCGAAAGAACAGCATACAAGATATTTCATGATCTCTTTTTGACCTCTTTATGCAACCTCATCTACAACTTCTTAAAAAATCCTCCAAGAAAACTCACTGACTTCCAGTTCCTGAATTTTATGACCAAGGCTGCCAACCCCCTCCCCTCTTCGCCTGCAAATTTCTAATCATTCTTTAAGTACTAGGTTGTTACCTCCTCTGAGAAAACATTCACCTTGGAAGCCACATTTATGTAGCTTGGATATTAAATTCAATTGTATTTATTTGACATCTGTAATCCTAGCTACTCAGGAGGCAGAGATTAGGAGGATCACGACGAGGTCAGACGGGACAAAAAGTTCATGAGATCCTATCTCGAAAATACCCACAACAAAAAATCTGGTGGAATGGCTCAAGTGGTAGAACACCTGCCTAGCAAGAGTGAGCCCTGAGTTCATATCCCAGTACAGCCAACAACTTAGGTGAGTTTGTAAACTTTGCCACGTTTATCAACAGGTCCTGCTAGTGAAACGAACACTTGTCAACTACTAAATTAAGAGACAGCATGTTGGCTTTATTATTTTGTTCTCTAATCTATCCCAATTACAGGTGAGAAGTTGTATAATCTCCTTACAGCTGAGTTATGTATCATCTGAGATGATCATTAGTTAAGAGTTTATACAATAGGGGCAACAGAATCTTCGGATCCAAGACGAAGGGCTGACCTCTAGAAACATACTTGGTTTTAAAATTCTTTAACCCGCCAAGTAAACCAAAACCGAGCACAGAGATAAAACCTGGAAAACAGGGACTTTTTTTAAAAGAACTACCACAGCCAAAAAGAGAAGGGTGCCAGGGCCAACTTCCTGTCCGGGATAAGCTTCCGGAATCAACAACTGGAAGACCCAATCAGAACCTTCCTGCAGGAGCCAATGGGAGAGTAGATTACAAAGAGCCAATCCCCGCGACGCTGTCACTGTTATGGTCCTGTCAGGGCGCCGGCGTCGTGGTGCTTGGGCGGTCGCCACCGCGAGGACGCCGGTGGGGCCGTCTCGGGGGCAGCCGGACGGCCTGCTGCGCTCGTCTCGGGCCTCGCCCCAGCCTGCGCCTTCCGCCTCGCAGGCCGCACGGTAGCGCGAGCGTGCAGGTCGGCGCCGCGGCTGCCTCGGGGCCTGGGCCCAGCCGCAGCCTCCTCCACCGCCGCGGGCTCGGAGGGGCGGCGAGATGCAGCCGCCGGGCCCGCCCCCGGCGTACGCCCCCGCGAACGGGGACTTCACCTTTGTCTCCTCAGCCGACGCGGAAGGTGAGGCTGCGCCCCGTGGGGCCCGACGCGAGGGGCCGGAGCTTCGGGCCTCGGCGCCCGCCTGGCCTTCCGAGCGGCAGAGGGAGGGGCGTGGGGAGCGGCCTCCCGAAGTCGCGCGACCCGGTCAGCGCCCCGCCCTCTGAGACCACGCTGTCCTGGGGCAGGGTGCGCCCGCGGAACCCGGGGGTCCGTCCCTGAAAGCCTCGGACGGACTCATGTGGACCGGGAGAGTCAGGTTGGCAGGCAGGGGAGGTGTCCGAGAACGAAGTGTAGCTGTGTTCCTGCTGTGTGTCACCGAAGATGCAAACTGTCCTCGAGAAGATGGGTGTCTTCCCCGAGGAGACGTCTGGCTTGGGTCCCACCGCCCTTCCAGTTCTTAGTGGGGGACCTCAGTGTTAGAGGAGTGGCCCAGGTCATGGGACACTGCGGTGTCCCCACTCGGTGTCCCCGCGTTCCTTACACGTTCCCTGGACTGTTTCCAGAACGCGTTGTGCTGGAGAGGTTTCTCTACAGCCCAGGGCCATGTGGTTTTTGGGTTTTTTTTGTGTGTGGCAGTAGTGGGTTTTGAACTTAGGGCCTCGCCCTTGCTAGGCATGCGCTCTACCGCTTGAGCCACGCCCCAGATCAAATTTCACTTTTTATTAGACTTTGTATACTTTCCAGTGACCGGACTTATTTGCCCATATGAGAAGAAGGATTCGTTGAGCTATAGAAATTTCAGTCTAGAGAACCTAGATTTC